CACAAGGTATGCATGTACGAATCTAACTTTCTGCACATATTTCTATCATTCAGACTAGTCCGAACTAGACCGCTACATAAGACTGAAACCTAATAGATGTCGCGTCACAGACGCTCTGCTTTTTTTTATTTAAAATCTATTTTCGGACGGGATGCCCAGACGGGGTTAAAGATTCCAAACCATTTTGGACTAGTCATGTAGTAGGACTTTTTGAGAAAAAGACTAGACATGACGCATAGTCACGACTAGAAAAATGACTAGTCTTTTTACCCGTCCTTTGCTCGCCTGGGTGGGAGTGTAGGTGTTCGTGTGGATCATAATAACATCCACTCCCACACCCACACCCACACCCTCAAATATTCCATTAGAAATTGGTCAGACTTGCGTCTATCTCTATACGAAAGAATCATTTTGGTATAAATTACTCAACCGTATGCTTCGTAGTCCATACGCGATTACTTTTGAACAAGTTAAAACACCAGGACCATTTTATTATCTACTCTATGAATATTTGCAGAATAATCCTACAGTAGATATTTTGACAGTTTATCGTGGCTTAAATTTAACTGACGAAGAACGACAGAACTTCATGGGATCGCACATAACAATTACCTCTTTTACGTCTACCAGCAGAAACAGAACAGCAGCTGAAATGTTCGGCAACACACTTCTCGTCATTGATCTTGACGTAAACGATCCACAAATAAAAAATAAGCGTCTAGAGTATGGTACAGACATTTCGTCTCTCTCTGATTTTCCAAATGAAGAAGACTTTTTGATCGCATCTAATCGTGCTCTTTGTTTCGTTAGGTATAAATATGATACTGACAAGAACAAACATATTATTTATCTCAAATAGGCGGATCCCAAATAAAAATATTTTCGAATTTAGCCGAGTAATTTCTGGATTTAACGACAAAAATTGCCTTAAATAACAATTTAACGGAGAATTTTTTTGATGAAGTCTCGTTATTTTTCATGAATTCGTACAGGGTGTGGCTGTGGGTATGGGTGTGGGTGTGATGTTGTTGTTCACACCCATATCCATAAACGGCGGTTGAGAAGTCCTGACTCGATTTGTATAATTCATTTTTTTATCTTAAAAAAGATCTTTAAAAATTTGTCTGTATGATAGAAAGATGCAGTAAAAGACGCTCTACAAAACAGCCTATGAATGATTCTCCCTAACTCATATATTAAGTAAGTTATCAGCTTAGAAATATGCATCACAAAAAATAAAAAATTAACCGTGGACATTTTAGAATGATGAAAACTTTATTTTGTTCGAAAAATGTTGTTTTAATTATAAAATACTTCTTCATCATGAGTGTTACAACAAAAAACATTATGAATCAATGTTCATAAACTTGATTTCCATTGAATTAGATCACTTTTGCAAGGCGTTTAGGTATGTTATCTATCATTGCTTCACATTGCTCAGGTGTAATTTTTCGCCATTCCGAATTAATAAAATCAACTAACGAATCAATATTTTAAAATGTTTTTCCTCTTGTTTTTTCCTTCATAGTCCCCCAAATGTTTTCAATGAGTCACACATCTGCAAATTTAGCATCTCCATCATTTGGTTCGATTCTATCTTCAAAGAAATCATTTACAACATCCACACCTATTTTCGTTCGATGTTTTGAATCTTGATCATCTTGGAATATGACTTCGTTCAGATTTTCAACCACTTCATTAATTGTCGAAATAGCTTCTTCACGTAAAAATTTAGCATATAAATCACCAGTCATGTACATTCTTTTGCGCTTATCAAGTCGACATTGATCTCGTAACCATTGAGTAAAATTGATAGGACCATCTTGAAGTATCAAGCCTTTCGTGGTAATCGCACCCCAAAACATAACACCACTTGGATATTTTACTATTGATGCTTCTCTCAAAATCAGCAGGAATTTCAGATGGATCTTCAGCATAAATTACATCATTTTTGCTATTGTGAAAACCTTCATTTGTAAATATTCCAGAAAAATCAGTATTAACAATTTTGTCCCATTGCCATTTATGACCATTTTTTCTCGCACCAAATTTTCGTATTAATTTTTTGCACAACTAAAATGTTGTTGTTTGTTTGATGTTGTTAACTTTTGTGCTTTTTTCAATTTGAATGGTTTCAAATTTAATTCCTTAATTGTTCTTTGCAACGAGATTCCTTTACCTTCAATGCTATTTCATTGTAATTCAAATACCACTTTTCTTTGACTTTGCCCCTTTTTTTAAGTATATGAACCGTTTTACTGCTTTCTTCAATTGTTCTATTCGAACAGTTCGTGGTGCACCACATCTTGATCTATCCTTGATTGTTCCTCGTTGTAATATTCGACTTATTTTTCTTCTTAAAGCATCACGATGTAATGAAGGTGGATTTTCATAAGATTGTATTTCATCAGCAATATCGGCTGCCATCCACGTGGGATTCATTTCCTTCATAGAAAGAACAAGTTCACGAAATTGCTCTTCGAGAGTGAGTGTGTTTGACATTTTGTTATATGAGGTAGAAAATCGTGTTGGTTATAGTATACTTTCGTTACAGTGAAACGAGTGTATTTATAGGTTGAAGTGGCAATCGAATATGTGAAGAAAGAAAGAGAGATATCATGAAAACAAAGAGAAAATGATTAAAGAGACCTAGAAAAGATAGTACGAACATAGGAAGATATAGAATACACCATGTGAATACACAGAGAACGAAAGATATTTCGGATGCTTGGAAAAATGCAGTAACATCTAGGGAATGATTCCAAATACAGTAATA